CGTAATTTTAGTAACGCGGAGATAATCTAAACTACTAATTCAGCTTTATAATAAACATTTTATAGCAGTTACTGAATTGAATCATGTTACAATGATTATATTAAAATTATGTCGAAGATTCAAATACACATTTCGCCAGGTCGATAAATAGATACTAAGCACTCTATCTGATTAACCAGTAAGCAAGAGAAATGTCTAACCTAGGCTTCAGAAAGGGGGAAAGTAACTTATTTTTCGTACATTTAATTTATTAATTACTATTAATAAATATATATATGCAAAAAATATTTGATAATAAACTTTAGTAATAAAAATAATTTAATAAATCTTTAACATTATAAAATATTTTTATTATTTTTAAATAATACCTAGTATATAGTGTATGTGAGATAGGTATTCATGATAACTCGGAATGCGCTTTTTATACATATATGTTCACATTCCACTGCTCGTTCTTTTCGAAGACAGCTGATGTAAAACGGGAGGTAAGAGAATTTAATTAATGGCACAAAAACCAAATTTGCGAAGCCTGAACGATCAGCATCAGTTTGAAGGGAATCTTTATTTTAAGATAGTAAAGAAATTATAAGTAAGATCTTTACTACAACTTCTCCTTTCCGTATTCCTCACCAGAATGCAACCGAGTAATCAGAATTTAAAATGAGATTATTGAATTTTAAGACATAGCGTGTTTCTTGTATCGTTTGCGAGTTACATTGTTAGCTTCCTGTTAGCTCTGATAGTTGTAATCATTTCAGCTTTGCGTTCTGTCTCTGCCGATGCTTTAATTCTGAAGCTTCAGTAGAGTTAGTGAGCTATTTTCTAGTAGTATTTAATTTTGTAATCCTTGACTACTATTCAAGACCTATTTAATTTGGATTATTCTGTTTAGCTGCATCACCACGATTTGTGATTATATTCTAGCACAAGAGAGTGAATTTGTATTCTAAATATTCTGTTTAAATAAAAAGGTTATTTTTAACCTTCGCAAATCTTTATCCTTGTTCTCAGACATAGCGATAATAAGATAATTCGCTTCACGTCTGTTAGAGTTATTAGACTAAAACAGCATTATCAGATCAGTTGTAACCCTATATAAGTTCATAAAAATAACAACACTGCATTTTTATTCCCTGTTACCGAAATATTGTTAGAAAGTTACTTGGCTGTGCAGTTAGTATTGCAAGTGGAAAGATATCTTTCTCCGTTTTAAAACTAGTTTAAATTTATTGAAGATACATTGATCAATTTTCTAAAATAAAAATCCAGAAACGGAAATTTAAAATTTTTTAAAGACTGATTAGTAAGTATCTTTTTTATGTAGATCTTTTTTATGTATTTTTATTTATTCCTGAAACAATTTCATTTTATAGTTAGTATTGTATTAGTTTTCGAATTTTTTATTATTAACTAAAAATTTTAAATTGCATTATTTAAGATTTCATTAGAATTGACTTATAAATAGAGCTCCAAATTAAATGTTGTCCATAGCCGGATAGACGTTTATACGGTATTTTCTACCTCCTTTCTGCATGAAGGTTACATGTGGTGTAACGGTTAGCACACTCGGTGCGCATTCAAGAGATCCAGGTTCGAGTCCCGACGAGAGCATTGCACATTTTTCATGTCTCTCGCTTCAAAATAATCTAATGGCTCTACAGTGACGCCAGAACTAAAAGATGATGGATGGTGATTCTTCACCACCAGGATTTGGCGACTGAGTCCCCTAATCCCCAGTCGCTCTTTAAAACGGGGAATATATAAGGTATTTTCATGTCGTGTAAATTATGCATTTTATGTCATTTCAGTTACCAGAGCAAAAATGGGTATTAGCAAGGAAATGGAAGACTTGATAAAATTTTCTGTGCTCCAAATGGAATGAGTACCCAGGCGACATCCTATCTGAATATAATTTCAAATGATGTTTCTCCTCGGGAGGGAGGGCTTTTGCCATTACCTATTAATAACCTAACTAAAATATGAAAAATGCTCCAAATAAGTATACTTTATCATCCCAATTAAATAAAAGAATCGCTCAAGAAAAGAATTAAAATGAGATTTTTTTTATCAAATTGTATCAGGTAGTTATAAGTTTAAAAAATTTCAATATTAGAAGATTTTACTTTGCATTTCAGAACCTTTTGACAAACGTATGATCAAATCGTTAGAATTATACCAGAATATGCAACTGGTATTGATAAAATGCATAGAAGCTAAAGTACTTTAAAAAGATAATTTCAACAGTGTTCAAGGTCAAAAGGGATAATTCCTAACCGATGAGACTGCGGAAGGTGATATAGAATTTCTGCAATCAGCGTTGGAGATATTTAAATATCAAATCATTCTAAAAAACGGTCAGATTAATACACACATTTAATATTTACGAAAAAGCACTTAAAATTCATATCTGCACTATATCATTATAAAGGAAAAGTCGTATGGTATTGCACTTAGGTAACAGAACTGCACAGGTATCATAATGCAAGGAAATGAAAAGTTAAAGAGGATGCGATTTAACACTTGACATCCAAGTACTAACTTTCACCTCTTTACGTCGGTGCCTTTGAAGAGAGGATTAGTTCTCATAAAAAACACTGGACCACCGTAGCTTCATAAAAGTAGCCTTAAAATTTAAAAGAGAAGTAAGAATTATTTTGCCACTTGATCGGTATTCAAGTTAAGGAAACTTATTCCACACCAAATAACTCCTCACAAAGCATGGAAGTTTGGAATTGTTAATTTCTTTTTATAAAGAGTATTAAAATCTTTAAATTGTCTGGGTCGTTTCATTATAAAGGCAGAAGGGTATGCGTTCCTTGAAGTTTTATCTTGGGATGATACCAAACAGAACTGGGATCGCCATCATCACGGTTACTCGAAATTTAGCTTGAAAGTGGCGAAGAAGAGGTGGAAATGTTCCAAACTATGATTATTCGCAATGTTTGTCTGGCTGATTAAGGCAAGGACTTGCAATGAATGAAAATAATAGCAGATTTCTACCTTGAACCTTTCTAGAATTTATTACATACTGTTCAATTTATTTCTCAATAGAAAGTACAGTTTGTGGCGGTCAGCATCAGTACGTGGAAGACATTTTATCAGTGCTCCATCTAGACGGCCTAATAGTTTTGTGCCTGCTAAGGTTGAGATATGTTCCTAGTAGTCAGTGTATATGTTATTGTAAGGTGGTTTAACCATTATACGAGGAATACTAGCTAATTGAAGCCGTATTATTGATTACTGAACATTAACTTGATTATGAAGCAAGTCTTCCACATAAAAGTTAGTTTCAACACTGAGGGGTTCAAATGCATTTGCAGATTTGAAAATTTACGTGTAATAGGAAGTTTTTGAGTTAGCAATTAACTACTAGTAACAACCGTCTGGTTGTTACTAGTAGTTTTTGAGCTGTGGTTGGTATCTTCTGAGTCTGAAATTTTTCGTTTAATGTTAGGGTTAGTGTTAAAGATAGGGATAGTTTAAGAATTAGTTCGGGACCGGATCTAAGGTTAAAATTAGCAAATTCTAAATAATTAAAAACTTTTACTGCTTTTTTTAATAATCCCTTCGATGTCAGTATCGCTGATTCTCGGTTTAGCAGATCTTTTAGCTTGTTTAGAGTGAATTTGTAGATTTCTTCTTCGGCTTGAAGTTCTTCAAATTCATCCTTCAAGTTTAAAACGTTTTCTCGAGTCAAAGTCACTCCAAGAAGATTATTGAGGTTCACTGCACGGTCATCTGCACTGTCGCCCTCATTAAGAGGTGGAAAATAATCTGCGTTGCTCACAAACATCGTGTAGCACAACCTTCACCTAACGAGACTTCAGGCTAAAAAAGATTTTCGGACTGCCTCCACCAAAACTGGGGTGGAGCTGCACAGTTAGTACGCTTGAACGTACCTATACAACCAAAGATGAAATTCTGGTGTCCCGCGCGCTTGTACCTGTACCTCCTAAAGGATTCCTGACCATTCCCAATATTAAAAATACAACTGAACAAAATGAGATCTTTCCTCAAGTAAGGATGAGAAAAATGCCAGGCAGTAACGCTAAAAAGGATATCGCAAAACAATCTCTTTCATGTTTCTGTATAGTTCATGAAACGCGGTAAAAATCGTAATTCAATACGAGTTAGCCTGCTTTGAAACTAAGCGCAGCTCCTGTATCATCATCAGATTCTGAATTAAGAGTTATCAGTTTTAAAATTAAGCAATATGTAATTTTAATTCAGCGTAGATTTTGAATAAAAGTCTGCTTCGTTCGTTTCTAGTTAGCCCTCGTGTATTGTTTCTATATAATATGACAGCTGCTCCTTCCATTTTTGCAAAATATTTTGCTCTTGAAGAAGGAGCTAGGTTTATTTACTCTAAACAAATGCACTCTGAATTCCAATGTTTATTCAAAATAATACCAATGCTTTTCTTGCCTAATTTAAAATTTTACATTGAGGCGTTTCTCTTCCAATTAAAAGAATCACTCTTAAAACATTTGTGTCAGCCTACGTATTTTATTTTCTGTTAAGTAAAAATACGCATTCTTGTTACTCTGCAAACCACTACAGATGACAGCAAAAAAACTCTTGCTACGATTACGAAAACAAAATCTTAGATTGTTTCACAGCTAACACTTTACATTTTATCAGTATGATTTGACAAATTCAGCAAATTTTATTCAGCAACATAAAATCTTCTAGTCTTTTCAAATCGTAATCAAAATTTCAAATCAAAATTTATCAGTATGATTTGACAAATTCAGCAAATTTTATTCAGCAACATAAAATCTTCTAGTCTTTTCAAATCGTACTATTGTATAAATTTCAGATCGCAGATACCCTTAGAGTTACAAAACACTCAGTTTTTTTTAGATGAATGAAACTGATATTAGGAGTAAGTATGTTTTCCAGTCTTGCAGCTATGCGCTTATTATCACTGATCATTTTATCCAACATTAAGGTCGCTATCTGTCAATAAATACATCTAAGCTGACAGATTTATTAGTCAAACTTATTGACGTCATTTGATACAAGCTACAGGCGGAGCACAAGCCTTCGATCGCTTAAGAAAATGAAACCATGGTCTGCTCATAAAATTAAGTTAATTGTGTGTATCACAGTTTCTGTCGTATTATTACCGCTCGCAGCATCACCTTTCAAGGTAAGTGATATTTTTCCTAGGTTTTAGCTAAAAGTAAATTTCTTCTACAGCTGAAGAATTTATTTTATGAAAATTAAAATGCATCACAGAAATTGTAATTCTTGAACACTAAACAAGTACATTTAGATAAAATTAGATAAAACAGTTTCAAATTTAGGATTTTAACTTATGTATTTCTAGGGTAATGGTACAAATTGGTTGCTTTAAAAGTTGATAAAGTTTTCTTTAAAAGCTATGTCAATCTAAAAAAAACTTTTGTGTAACTTTAAATTTGACATTTGCATATTTACCTAGTATTAAAGGATAAATTTTTATAATAATCATTAATGGTAATATTCTCACCTTTAAAACTCTGTTTAGCTTTAACATGCAATAAAATAACAAAATCACATGTTAATTTAATACACGCTTTATCAGTAATTTTGAAATGTTATCTTTTTAAAGGTTTTAGTTAATTACCTTCATTTGTTACTTTCCTTAAAGACTTCGAAAACAATGATCTCGAAAGAAATTCGAATGCCGTATTTTATACACGATAGCTTCACTTGAAATTGAAATTAAGTATAATTACCTAATTTTCCATTTCACAGGAGAGTTTAATTTAATTTGTATTGTTTGGTCCTGTGAGTTTATAATTTATTACATGCATTTTCAATTAAGGACATTTAATTAATTCTTCGGAATATTTTTTCGCTTATAAGTTACCTCAACCAGAAAAATTTGAATGCAATTTTGTAGCACTTGGCCACCATTCATGGCGGCTCTAGAGATTTTTGAAAATTTAGCATGTCTTAATTAATCTATTTAACTTCTAAGTCTAAAAGGAGATAATATAATTTCATATTCATGCCGATTTCAGAATTGTTTTGCTTTTCATTTATATGTAGCCAAACATTAATTACCTAAAATTGAATTTGTTGGTCTCAAATTGAATTAATTATCTCAAATTTCATTAGTAATTGAATTATCGCAAGTAATAGAAAAAATTTTTGCACATATGAAAACATAAAGCTACGGTTATATGTAGTTTACAGTCATCTATTGCAAACTATAATTACCAGGAATTTAGAATTATTAAAATTAACCTTTCCAGGTTATAACTATAATTTTTAAGCCCCTTATAATTTTTAATAAACCTGCAAGTGATTTTAGGATTTAAGCATGTAAAAATTTTCGTGTCGAAATTTAGATAATGATATGCTACGTATCAGATGATTTTAGGGTAGTCAGTGGTGTACCTTTTTCTTTTTCTACCTTTACTTTTTTTTTTAATTTGTAGGAATGCAGTAACCATCATAATTTCAAAACTATCCTTATGCAACTTTTTTTATCATAACGATAAAATGTTATAATGTATCGATCAACAAAAATATTTGCATTATTTAACCAGCCCAAAGATATTTGCCTAAAAACAAATTTTTAATTAATGCAAAATCATACATTAATGTTCAGTTTTTTACGAATTCTTAAAACATTTTTATATGTATATCTTTACATGCATACTGCGAATATATTTAAACGCGTTTCGTATACACTCTTTCGTAAATAACTTCATAGACATTTTAGCGTAGCAAATGATCTTTCCGCATTTTAAGTGATAACTTTCGTTGTTATCAGTATTTTCAAACCTATGGTTATATTAGGAAACATCTCTTTATCCAGGCTTCTAATGATTCTGTTGCAGATGTATTAAATTTAATACAGAGCGCTTGATGTAATTATCTATGCCAAAGTTACTCAACGTTTGAATTTCCAATATTAAAATACTACAAATCAGAAAACTCTATATTTAAAGGTAGTTCGAGTTTTCCTTGATTTTCAGATTGGAAATGGAATTTATTGTTTTGGAAAATTAAAATATTCAAAGAATTTAATAAAATAATTTCTACACATAATTTTTTTATGTTTAATAAAACATTTTAAGTGCAAGTTTACACCATCCAAGTGTTGATTAAAAATAGATATTCGAAAATAGAGTTCGGTAAATTCAATTATATTATTAAAACGATATGTTTGCTTGCTTGCCAGTCCCGGAAGAGACATTTTAAATTCTTCAGCATTTATTTGCTTCAGAAATAAATAAAGGCTGATTCTATATTCAGTTTTGTGGCCGATTCTGAATAAATTGCTCTGAAAACTTTTTTTGCCTTGTCACGAATTTGCTGTAATTATCTTAAAATATTGTCACATAATTTAATTGGTAGAGAAAGATCTATAGATTTCAACTATAAACTCCTACTTAATGGCAACCTTCATGAAAATATTTTTGCAGTTGAAAATAATGCGATCAGAAAGGCAGGCCACTTGAATGAACTCAAGAGTATATAAACTCCAGATAATGATTCCTTATTCTTAATATAGCAGTTGCTTATTATTTCTAGTGTATGAACCAAAGATTTAGTATTTCTACCATAACCATAACATATTATTGTTTATCATTTTAGGGTGGGGTAAAACGTTTTCAGAGATTCTCTTCTTGAAGATGGGCACATCTTCAAGTTACTACAGTTACTTGACTGTAAAATATATTTTCTTTCTGGAGTGTTCATTAAAGAATAGTTTTTATTACTCTCATGCAATTACGATCATCTTTAGCATAGCACATTAGCCAATGAGTAGAAAACGTACTAGTTTTTCATTTCTGTTATTAAAAAAAAATCTGAAAGCTTCCAGATTTCATATTACGCCCAAAGGGGTTTTATTTCATTTACACACACATACATACTTCGAGAGCATTTGGCTAATGTGGACTAAAAATATTTAAGAACAATATATCTTTATTATTTCCGATAGACAGTCTCGCACGCTGGAGATAAAAATGTTTTTTATTTCTTAGAGTGTTGCCATTGCTCGCTTTGAAATCGTTGAGCTTTTTAATCAAAATTTCGTTAAAGTTTTACAATATATGAAACAGACAAAAAAAAAAAACAAATTCGAAATTCAAAATTTGAGCTTCCAGGTGCCCATATTTAGGTGGCGGGTTACGTTATTCAAAATCTGATGCCTCTATGTACCGTTGCTTTTTACAATGCTAGAAAAATACATACATTCATTCATTCTTTATTATTTAATATCTTTAAATTTAATACAGAGCGATAATATTTGGTGACAACAATTTCAAAAGTGAAACAACGCTTGTTGTGAAAAAAAAAAAAAAAAAAAAAAAAAAGGCATAATTTCAAGTAATTGCAATAAATACATAAATCTGAAACAAAAAAATGAAATGAAACAAAAAAAAAAAAACTATTAATGCACCTGAAATAGGAAATTTATCATTCCTATTTCTGACAGCCTCTGGGAGCAACTGAATCGGAGAGGAACTGAATGGCACTCTGAATCGGAGAGGAAAACATCACCTCTCTCAACAAAAAAGAAAAGTTTTCTTCAAAAGGAAAGGCGCAAAAATGAAAGTTTCAAAACTTCAAATTTCGTGTATAGAAAGTGGCATATAAGACGTTTTCGTTTAGCATGTTGTAAATTGTTTAAGGTTTAATGTTTTGAACATATAATGAATTACCGTATTCCTTCGTGCGTGCTCTCGTGAGTTAAGTGGTTAGCACTTCCAACCAGCAGTAGGAAGACCCGTGTTTTGAATCCCATCAATGGTACAATGGAATTTTCCTATTTTCAGTTCTGAAAATTCTGGTGGTGTTAAAATATGTTCAAATAATGATTTCTGAGAATTTATGGATATTGAAAGAACAAAAGTTTCCAATTTTGAAAGGTATTTGTTGTAAGAATACATTCATACAGGCTCATAGTCAGCATGGAAGTTTTCAAGAAATGTCAAATTTTGAATGGTGGGGTAAGGTGATAAGTTGCGGAACTTCTGTCACTGGCCCTACTTAAGCACAAAATGCATAAAGATGATAATTAATTGCTCTTTACTCTATGAATACAAGCTAAGATCCGGTATGCAGTACATGAGAATAAATATTTCAGCTTGTCGCTTTCGGAAGTTGAAACAAGACATAGATGTCTGCGAGAAAGTTATGCTTCATCGTTGAGTAATATAAATTGCTATTTATCCCTCCAACTCATATGAATAATCCTTATGTCCAGCAAGCGGAAATCCTACTAATTTGAATATTTAAGTGCAGTAGATGATTTTATCACTAGCTGGTTATGCTATACTTGTAATGCAGTGTCCATTAAATTAGCAACATTTATATCCGATTAGTTAATCACGATGAGCTGAACATAGTAAGTCATGCGGGATGTTGCTTGAACATGTTGTGTACAACATGTTGTTCACAGCGTGTAGAGAAATGTAACAACACGAGTCATGTGTTGTAATATTGTAAAATGTGTTGTACCAAAGTGAAACATGTGTTACAACATGTATACAAATGTTGCACACAATGTGTGAACAAGTGAATATCTTGCGTAGGAAAACCGTATCTACAGCACTTAAGCTGCAAACGAAATAGAAACAGTAAATAAAAAATATCTTGAAATGAATGTAAGAGAATGCCATCCAAATAATATACTTTAAAGAAGAAAATGTAAATAATTTATAAGATTATGGAAAAAAGACTCAAATTATAACCAAAAGAATGGCTTCTTACTTCCTTGTACGAAGTAAAGGAATAAGTAGTAGCGAACATATCCATTCTAACTTCTCTCGAAACTATTTGAACTATGTTTTTGTATGACATCTGTACATACGGACAGAATAAAGTATTGTTTTCCCCAAACGGAATGTGAAATGGATTTAAAATGAATTCCGAAAAGATTTTTTGTACTTAAGACGTCAAGAAAAAAATTGAATGTATGTACCTCGCATAACTCAAGAACGAGTAGCCGTAGAACGTTGAAATTTTGTATATGGGAGTGCTATAACATGTAGTTGAGTACCTCGTTTTTTGTTGCAATCGGCTGCACCAATCCTATATATATATATATATATATATATACCCACTGTGACAACATGCACATTTGCTAAATGAGAAGAACTTCCTGTTTTGTTCAGAGACAAATTGTCAGTTAGAACTTTGAGA